ACTGTGCCGGAACCCGAGTACAGTGAAAAATGAGTAAGGGCTAGCTAGGGCATTCCCCAATAGCGACGCGCCGCACGTCGCCTGGTTACAGTGAAAAATAGGGAAGGGTTCTTGCGACATTCTAGACGAGCGCAGGTAAAAAAGCTCTTCTAAAAGAATAGGATATGTCTAGGCACATGGAATGTAAGAATGCTTACAGGTAAAAGTATAATGGATGAAATGAGATGAAGGATAATGAACATAGCCTGTCTACAGGAAACCAAAACGAGAGAAGGCTAAAGAAATAGATGGATATAAACTTTGGTATACAGGAAAGTATAGTACTAGAAATGGCGAAGGCATAATAGTAGACAAAGATTTACAAGATAAAGTAGTTAATGTCAACAAAATAGGTGATAGACTCCTACTAATTAAACTTGTATTAGGGGAAGAGACAATTTTGGGAGGACGTCCATGACATACCAAATGGAGAGAGAACCTTTTTAAGAAGGGACTTAAATAGTGATGTGGAGTATGAAGGGGTACATGGGGGATATGGGTTTGGTGAAATAAATGAGATGAGTGGGACAATTCTAGATTTTGCTATGGCCTACGACTTAGCAATAGCAAACACTTACTTTAAAACGTGAAATGAACATTTAATAACCTATAAAAGTGGATCATATAAAAGCCAGATAGACTTCTTCCAAGTTAAGAATGAAGATCAACCATAATGTAAAGACTGCAAGGTTATCCCAAGAGAGAGTTTGACTACCCAATATAGATTCGTGATTATGCGCGTTTATATAACGACATAGAAGATCAAGGGTGAAATTAATAGGTATCCAAGAACTAGGTCGTGGAATTTACAAAATGAGAAAATAGACTTATTTAGGAATAAATTAGTCAAAGAAGGAAAATGGAACTCCAAACATGACGTAAATGTTAAACTTAAGGCATATGATAATCTATACAGTAAATTGGGAACAAGAAAAGGTGAAAAAGATGTCTTCAAATTAGCAAAACTAAGCAAGAAAAAGTATATGGATCTATACCATATTAAATGTATTAGAGTGAGGATCAAAAGGTCTTGGTAAAGAGGTAAACAATTGGTGGAGAGTTTATTTTCAAAAATTATTACATGACAAACACAATGGGAACATAACGGTAGAAGGAACCGTTGGCATAAAAGAGGACGGAGGTCATAGATACATTCAAAGAATTAGGATATCAAAAGTGAAGGAAATTTTGAAAAGAATGAAGAAAAAAAAGTAATGCAGTTAAAGTTATCGTGCTCGATTATCTGGAGCGATCAAATTGCTATCAAAAGAAGAAGAAATAAAAATGATTTTATTTAAATTTTTATTTTTCTTTTAGAGTCCATTTGAAGGGAGTCTATTTATTTAAATTTCAAATAATAATTTTTTTTTTTTGTGTTGGGGTCTGTGCTTAAAAAGTTGAAACAATCCTTTGTCACAATAGGAAAAATCACATAAATCTATGGGGCACCAATAATGACAATAGAATCCTAACTAGACTCAAAGACCAGACAATCACCTATTCATGAATCTTCTCTCGCAAGACAACTTCATGAACTCTCTCCCCACTAAAGATGCCTATCACACTATCTCCATACGCCCAAAAGGCTTTCATAACAAGTAATTGCACTAACAAACAAGCCGTCCCCAAGAGCACAATGGAGCATAACATCAAACAAGCCACTAATCAGAGAGTCTCCCAAGCCAATCTACAAAAATTTAAGATGAATGACCACATCATCATACCAAAGGAACAATGAGTCAATCAGCCCAGTAAGTGTTCTAGTGATTCATTCTCCCCCTAACAACCATTAACATGTTTGCTACCCACAACATAGTTAGCAAGTCAGGGAATATCAATATATCGGCTCACATAAAGTTGAAAATAAATCGGTTTTATTGTAAAAAGTCTGATGTAAAAATCAGGTCAAAAATACTGATCAAAAAAATACTTTATGTAAAAATGTCGCAAATACATGGGATTAAGCTCAAAAAATCAAAGTGAAAAAAACATATAAGTTTAAAAATTTTAAAATTTTAAAGTTCTAAAAAATAAAAAATATGCCAAAGTCAGCAATAAGTAATCCACCCATGAAAACATTACTAAAATAATATAATAAAGTCAATCAATTTAGATGTCTCATGACTCTCATCCCATCATCCGAAATTAAATACAAAATTCTTTAAATTGATTCAAAATTAAACATAATGCATGGTAGAGTCATCAGAATTAATAGAAAAGTTAGGAGTTTGGGAAGGTGAAACCCCCAAGTCATGTATCAATGCATTATCATCATCACAATCATCATATATGGAGGTGTCTTCATTTTCCGTCTCTTTGAAAATCTCTTCTGGCAATGAACCAAGCTTTTTTTTGGGTAAGTGGCAATGAACCAAGTTGTTCCAGACTAATTGCGTTACAATCTTGCTTTTCATTTCACGACAAGCAATCATCATCTTCGAGTTCACTCTTATGTAAACCAATTTGGTTAATATAGTTGGTGTCAATTTATTCTATTTTTTGGTTTGTGTCGCCTCAAAAGCATTCTAATTTCTCTTGCACGCTGATGAGCTACATGGTTGGCTCAAAATTTGAATAGCAACCATTCCTTCCCACTAGACTCCTACATAATGAGAAATTTTTTAGCCACAATTCAAGATACAATTAAAAGTGAAATAAAATTTATTTTTTAAATACACTAAAAAGCCTAATAATACAAGAAGATAGTTACAAGGAAAAGCTATTGACAATAATTCCATTGCAACATCATCAAATACATTTAGATCCTACGTATGGTACTTCAACAACTCTGAAAGAATACATTTTTATGCTCTTACTAGATCATTGTATCTGAAATCAAGGCAATATCAGCCTTCATTTCAGGATTATCAAGTTTAACAAACCCACCACACATTAAAGATGGATTAAAAAGTGCAGCAACAGCACGATTGGGGTGAATGATATTTTCTCTTCTCTTTTCAAAATTCTTTAACAATTCAAGATATCTAGATTCATTGCCATTACAAGTCCTCTTTAGTGCTTCCCTTGCCCTTTGTCTTGCTTCATATAAGAATCCTATACTTGACCCATCACTATCAACCAAACAAAGCTCTTGATAAGAGGCTCTAATGTGGTGATTGTATCTATCGCATCATTCCAAGATTTGGAGCTTTGAATTATATTTGTGATTTTTTTGCCATTTTCACTCTTGCTATAACTCATAGCTCTCCACTTAGATGATACAAATATCAATCTCGAAGCCTGTTCTACTTGCAATAAAGATTGAACCATCAAAAAGTTAGTGGCTAATCTAGTTATACCATACATTTTCAAATCCCATCCATTTGTGTGCTTTTTCATTAAATCTAAAATAATGATATGCTAACACAAAAAAATCCACTATCAACTTAGCATCATTAATGACACCTTTTACCTAAGTGACATCCTCATCAATATCTTGTAGAAGCAAATCTAACCCCATAGGTAGCACACCGTGTTTTATAAATATGAGGGAGTTTCGATTCTATTATATCACCAACAAGTACATAATTTGATCCATTGTCAGTGATTAAGTTCAACAATATTTTGTAGCCCTAACTCCTCAATAACTTTAAAAATCATCTTTTCAATAAATAATCTAGTTTTTCATTGCTCAGATACCTCAAATGCATTTATAAAAACTAACCCCTTTGGACAAGAAGCAACACAATTGAGGAATGACCGATTTTTTATATCCGACTAGAGATCTGACATCAAAGTGCATCCTAATTGAACCCATGACTCATTTATTGAAGTTACATATGCATCAATTTATGTCCTAAATTCTTGTACCAATTTAGTGCGAAGAGATGAATAACTTGGCAATGTGTAACCAACACTAAAATTGATACATGCATTTATCACAGTAACAAATGATTGTGCATCGATAACATTAAATGCAACATTATTTATGATAAATGCACAGGCAACTTCTTTGTCAATAAATGCACAGCCTCTCTCTCTGTGACTAAAATCTTGCCCTCAAGTACTTGATGATGTACAAGCTTTGGCTGTATGAGCGACACATGAGGAATCTTTTAAGCCCCCAAAGAAGAAGAACAAAATTACATCATATGCTCAAAATGTTGATCAAAGTTCGATAAGCGTAGGTAATTCTAATGCATCACTTGGTACCTCTACTACCAATTCTCATTTGCAACTGCATGTAACAATTTTGATGATGGTTACGCATTCACAAGGTACTCATCTCTTCGCACTAAATTGGTACAAGAACTTAGGATGGAAATTGATGCATTTGTAACTTCAATAAAAGAGCCATGGGTTCAATCAGGATGCAGTTTGATATCAGACCTCTAGTCGGATACCTCAATGTTGTTGCTTCTTGTCCAAAGGGGTCAGTTTTTATAAATGTATTTGAGGTATCTGAACATAAAAAATTTGGATTATTTCTTGAAAAGATGTTTCTTAAAGGCATTGAGTTAGAGACAACAAAATATTGTTCAACTTATGGCTAACAATTGATCAAATTATGTATTTACTGGTGATCTAACAGAACCGAAACTCCCTCATATTCATAAACTATGGTGTGTTGCTCATAGGTAAGATTTGCTTCCAAAAGACATTGAGAAGGATGCCACTTAGGTAAAAGATATCATTAAGGATGCTAAGTTGATAGTGGATTTTTTGTATCCGCATACCATTGTTTTAGATTTAATGAGAAAGCACACAATTGGAAGAAAATTGAAAAAGTATGGTAAATCTGGATTTACCACTTTTTGTTGGTTCAATCTATATTGCAAGTAGAAGAGGATTTAAGATTGATGGTTGCATCATCTAAATAGAGAGCTATAAGTTATAACAAGAGTAAAAATGGGAAAAAAAATCACAGAAATAATTCAAAGCTCTAAATTTTGGAATGATGTGATAAATATAATCACAACATTCGGGCCTGTTATCAAAGGCTGCGTTTGGTTGATAGTGAGGGATCAACCATGGGATATTTATATGAACCAGTACTTTAGGCAAGGAAAGCACTAAAGAGAAATTGTAATGGTAATGAGTCAAGATATCTTGAATTGTTGAAGAATTTTACAAAGAGGCGAAAGAAAAATATAATTCACCCCATTCAGATTGTTGCCGCATTTCTTAATTCATCTTTAGTGTGTCGTGGGTTTGTTAAACTTGACAATACTAAAGTGAAGGCTGGCATTGCCTTGATTTCGGATACAATAATCCAGAAAGAGAACAAGAATGTATTCTTTTCAGAGTTGTTGAAGTATCTTACGCGGGATCTAAATGTATTTGATGGTGTTGCAATGGAATTATTGTCAAAAGCTCATCCTCGTAAGTTTCTTCTCGTATTATTAGTTTTGTCATTATTTTAAGAAAACAAATTTTATTCCACTTATAAGTCTATCTTGAATTGTGGCTAAAAACTTTCTCATAATGTAGGAGTTTGGTAGGAAGTATGTGGAAAAAGCATTCCACTGGTTGGAATGGTTGCTATTCAAATTTTAAGCCAACCATGTAGCTCATCCACGTGCGAAAGAAATTGATGTGTTTTTTAAGGAACACAAACCAAAAAAAGAATAAATTGACACCAACTATGTTAACCGACTTGGTTTACATTAGAGGGAACTCGAAGAGGATGACTGCATCTCGTAAAAATGAAAGCATCATTTTAATGCAATTAATCTTGAACAGCTTGGTTCATTACCAAAAGAGGTTTTCAAAGAGACGAAATATTTTGGATGATTATGATGATTATGCATGACAACATGACTTGGGGCTTACACCTTCCCAAACACCTAACTTTTCTATTAATTTTGATGACTCTACCATGCCTTATGTTTAATCTTGAATCTATCAAGTGAATTTTGTATTAACTTTTGGATGATGGGATAATATTAATGAGACATCTAAATTGATTGACTTAATTATATTAGTTTAATAAAGTTTTCATGGATGGATTACTTATTGTTGGCTTTGGCATATTTTTTTATTTTTTGGAATTTTAAAATTTTTAAACTTATCTATTTTTCCCACTCCTATTTTTTTAGCCTAATCCGATGTATTCACGACATTTTTACATAAAGGATTTTTTCGGATCTGTATTTCTGACCCAGTATTTTCATCCGACTTTTTAAAATAAAACCGATTTATTTTTTATTTCATGGTGAGCCGATATATTGATATTTACTGACTTGTTAACTCTGATCCCCACTGCTAAATCCAATGCATGAATTATTCTCACCCTCCACCACTCTATTAAACTCAAATCACTAACACTAGCTTATTTTCTCAGTCCTCTAGTCCCCCAACTTAAATCCAATAAACTGTACTTAGCTAGAATGACATCCTTCCATAGTGCCTCCTCCTTGCAAACCAGTCCACATGGAATCCTTCCTAGAAGTGCCCACTAACATCTCTCAACCATATGATTCCCAGTCCCCACTCTCTTTTTTTTACATGCTCTTTTCCACATAATCAGTAGCGACTTACGAGATTCCAACAGCTGCTCCAAATATTCACATTGCAACCTCTTCAATCTCTCGGTGACACTATTAAGCATCTGGACTACATGTATAAAGTATATCAGCAAATCAGCAAGAAGGGAACCACTAAGTGTAATCCTCCCTTATAGAGAGTAATCTGCCTTCCACCATTCCAATTAATGGATCTCATAATCTCTTCTTAGGCTTACAAGTAAACAGAAGATGAAACATGAGGTATAAAGTTATGAACATACGAACTAATATCTTAGTCACCTGGCAAGCCACATAAGGTTATATCTATTCAAAAACCACATCTAACATGGAAATTTTCCAGACGTTAATTCTGAGCCCTGAAATCACCCTCTAACACATAAATCGTATATTTCTATTGAGACGTGGCCTGTATCATAAAAACCAAAGTGTCATCTATAAACTAAAATGAGTAAAACGAGAACCACTCAAGGTCACTGAGAAATCCCCAATCAGCTCAAATTTAAGGGTATGTCAACAACGCGACTAAACATATCAGCTGCCAATGTGAAATAAAGGGTGATAGAGGTTCCCCTTGCCCAAGTCCTCTAGGTGATAAAAATAAAAAAGAGAGGAAAAGAAAACCTTCAAAAGGTGGCTAGTTGGACATTAAAATTCTTTGGTTGTCTCATGGATCCCCCCTCACAAAAAATTATGTTAAGGAAAATAATAATATACGAGATGCAAAAAATGATGTACTTTGGAACATAAGGAAAAGAATTAAAAAGGAAATAAAAAAAATCCTATCTTTTATTTCATGCATCTTTGTTAATGGTTAATTTCTGTGAATAATTTCTTTTTTACCTCTTTTGAATTCTATGATTTCCCCATCCGCTTGGCTATACTATATATGTATTAGTTGATTCTTTCTAAGGTTCCAAGCCCAAGGATGAATCTCCCAAATTTGGAACCACTTTCTGAACATTGGTCGCAACTTTATTCTACCCAAACTTTTCTAGCATATCTGTAGAGATATTCTTCCACAAATGATTAATATAGGACAACCATGCATAACAGAGAACCTTTAAAGTACAACATACCTGATGCATTGTAAGCTGGAACTGGAAATCATTGAACTCATGCCAATACCTTTAAAAACAAGAAATGGACAAATTACTAAAGTCACAATATTCCAACAGAAGAAATCATCAAGAATTTGAATGCATTCAAATGCCAATGAAACAAAAAATCATGAGAGAAAACAGTACTGGTGAAAAACATGAAGGCCTCACAATAATGAAGCGAAAACAAGCATACACAGATCAAGAAGTCATCCATAAAACTAAAATAGTTTTGGAACACCATTAATATGACATAACATATCTCATCGAAATGGAAAATAAGAAATTCTGAAAATAATTAAGGATAAAAACTAATAGCAAAAAGAAGGATTGATGACTTGCAATTGAAAGTCTCACTTTATGCATATAAAGGACATGAAGAGAGTACTGACTACACTTACCCAAAATAAAGAGAGTACTGAATACATATTGCAAGTGGAAATCCAGTCTTGTGGTGGTTGGACTTATTTACTCCTAGGAACTGAAGGTGATTATCATATCATATGGGCCAAAATGTCTAATAATCGAAAAAGCAGCTAGTTATCCATTTTGGTCTTTCTTATCAATAGTTGTCAACATGAGATTCACCTATAACTTCTACAAAATACTAACAAAAGTTCATGTGTATAATGCACAAGCCATAGTTACTTGGTTGGCAACCCTTCAATTTCCTAATCATGACTGAAGCCACACATGAACGAGGCTCATCTAACATTTGATTCCATTTAAGGGTCACAAGCTGTAAGTAGTGATAATGAACTGGACAAAATTTAACAAAGGGATAAATAAGTGCTCCCATGATCAAACTTTGTAGATAGAGAGTTTCTATGTGTTGCTCCAAGAACTACATCAAGATAAATCACTTACTAGTATATCTTCACTATTTTGGCTTCTTAGTGGACAGCTAAATCAGGTGGATCCTTCTGCGTAGGCATGTTGGAGAAGGGCATCTACGAGGACCTCCTTGGACAACATCGCATGATCCACAGAATGAGTGAAATGTAATTCTTCCAAAACACAACGAATCCAATACTTCATCATTTTTCAGGTATCAAACTTTTACCAAGCATATTCTGCAGTGAAAGACTTTCTGCCAATATTATTGACATAAAAAATTCAACAATCTTTGCAGCAAGTGTTGGATTCTTCGTCAGGTTTTCATAATGAAGAACCCATAATAAAATTTGTCCAACAATCTGACAACCATTATTCAGCATCTACAGTTTTCCTATTAGGTGCAGCGTTGCTTTTAGAAGAATCCAAAAATTAAGTTTAAATTTTTTTGATAATTATTATTCACTATTATATGGGATTTAAATCACAGGACCCCACCCCTATAAGAAATTCCTAACCCAATGATCCCCATCTAACCCACCACCCTTCTCAATGGATTCTTCATGAGTGTCATTGCCAGACAGGGTGCGGCTACCTTCTGAAGATGCTTTTTGCGAATGAGATGCAAAGCAAGCAAGAAAAAGGCAATGTTCAAAAAGGCAAAGGCGGCCTGCCCAGAGAGAAGAGGCAGTCTTTTTTTTTGTTCCTTTTTCTTTGGGGGGGCAGCATTTGTTGTGTCTATGTGTGCGTGCACAAGTATGTGTGTGAGGCCTCACATGAAATACTTAAAAATATCTTCTTTGTATCTTATCTTGTATGTAGAGTAAAAGAGAGAAAGCATAAGGAACTGTGTTTGTGAGAGGGAGGTCTTGAACATTTGGAGGACATTCCTTTTTCTTCATCTAATACATAGAGAGAGAGGGGGACGTCGCATCGAACACTTGGAGGTCATCTTCTACTTTTTGTTCTTCTTATATGTAAAGAGCGAGTATATGGGTCTATATGTGTCTTTGAGTGTGTATGTGTATGTGTGTCAGCGAGAGAGAGAGGCCTTGCATTGAACAGTTGAAGGCCATCTTCTTCTTCTTCTTCTTCTAATATGTGGAGAGAGTACATGGGCCCATAAGAGAGAGAGAGAGAGAGAGAGAGAAAGAAAGGCCTTAAATAGGCATTAGCTCCTTTTTTCTTTAGGTAGCTTATTTTTGCCTGGGGGGAGCATTAGGCGGGCACCCAGACCCACCAAGGCGCCGACCTCAACAAAATGCAATGTTGAAGAAATGCAAAACAACATTGAAAAATGATTAAATAATGTAAGTACCAGACCAAACACCTGAAAATTTGAAAGTTCAAGAAAATGTTTTAAGGCATTGCTACGAAAGCTCGCTAGATATGCGGTTATATTGATTCAAGGAATAATGTCTTGCAAATACATCAAGTAACCAAATCTCAACCATTAAGTATAATAGAAGTATTTCATTAGAAAAATTGTTTCATGTACAATATTCCTTACAAGCAAAGATGGCCAGAACATCAAAAGCTTGGAAGCAGAAAAAAGTGTTCAAGAACACCCACTAAGCTCTAGTAAATTTTAAAGTTACATTATTGTAATTTTGGAAATGAACTAAAAATATAGTTTTGCCGCTTTGTTTGTCATAGACCATCTAGTTTCTACGGAGAGATTTGGCTAGTAAATTTAAAAAAAAAATTAATTGTTCGTTTTGGAGTCTAAATGTTTATTAAAAAATCATCATCATCATCGCATTTTTCTAACTATTTGGGATCGGCTACATGAATCCTAGCTCGCCATTATGCTCTATTAAGGGCCACACCCACAATGAGGCCATAAATACCCATATATTTTCTCTCTACTTCAAACCATCTCCTTTTGGGGCCTACCCCTCATCTTTTCTGAACTAACTCGCACCTCCTAACAAGTGAGGAGGTCAATCTGGCTGACCTTCTCGAGAGCGAGGACGGATGATCCCACTGAGTTGGAGAGTTACAACCATTAGGAGAGAGAGAGAGGAAAGAGGTTGAGAGGTTCCCTCTATCCCTTTGATCTCACCTTCATGCGACTATGAGCGTCAGCCTGTAAGAAGAGGTGAGCAGGTCCCTCTAGTCCATTGTGTTCGAAACCCATAACTTTGTAGATTTCCTTCATCTTTTCCTGGTCCCTGTCTCGTTCTTCCCTGTCTCGTTCTTCCCTGTTGTCATCACCCGTGGCAAGCGAATCGACGTGATGAAAGCTAGATGCTACTATTGAAGAGGCAACTTGTGCAGTTTCGGTGGAAGTGTCCCCATGAGGAAACTCTTCAACAGAGGTAGGAGGTGCAGTCGCAAGGGGAGTCTCTTCAACAGAAGAAGGGGGTAGCGAGACGAGAGAGGCCGAGATCTGGGGAGAAGTGGGAATGGGGGAAGGTAAGCTCAGAGTTGAAGAGGAGGGGGAGGTAGGGGGTTGGGTCGAGGGGAGGGGAGGGGAGGAGAGGAGAGGGATTAAAGGAGCATGATGAGGGAGAGAAGGGGAGGAAGCATCAAGAAACCCAAACACAGGAGGGGTGGGGGTGAAAAATCAGAGGGGGATAGGGTAGAAAGGGGAGAAGGGGCTACAACTGGGGTCGAAGGGGGGAAATAAGCTAGGTAATGGTGGACATGCACTGTTGAGTAATCTGCCGACCAAAGTTGATAAGGGGGGGGATAGCGAACATGCAAGGTTCGCACATGGCAGATCCGCACGATATGTGGCTCAAAGTGAAGGTGAGGGGACAGCAAGCCAGAGGCAACGTCTGGTTCCATGGGGGACAAGTCAGAGGTTTGAACCGAGGCTATACCGAAGGGGAACTGATTTCTATCCGTGAAGTCAGGGAAAAGAGGGAAGGGAACGAAAAGGAGGGAGGTGAAGCCAGGAGGGGGTAGGGATAAAGGAGCACTGGTCTGCAGGGAAGCCATCTCCGGGAGGGCAGAGACAGCGAAGGGGGCGAAGGAAGAGGGCAAGGGCAGAGAGGAAGAAGCGGGGATAGAGGGAGGAGCTGCAAGCGGGATGGCGGGAAAGGACAGGGAAGAGCTAGAGTCAGTGGAGTCACACGCGTCCCCTGATGTCTCGAAGAAGGAAAGGGAAGGCGGCATGATAGGTGAGACATGGTGCGAGGGGCAAGGCGAACAAGGGGCAGGTGTCACTCCCAAAGATTTCTGGCGAGGATGCTTGCCAGGTGGAGAGGGAAGCGTATGCGGCGAGGGGCTCGAGGTGCCAGTTGTCGGTGGGGGAGAAAAGGGGGTCGAAGAGGTGGGGAGAGAGAGGGCCTCAAACTCAGGCCAGGGGGGATCCGAGGGTAAAGGGAATACCGGGGCTGGGCGGAGGGTCAAGAAAGTAATGGGGCGGGCTGGTAACATGCCTGACCGAGCCCTCACCGCCAAAGACTTGCCCTGATTGGAAGTGGGACAAAGGGATGGGAGAGGTCGGCTGACACACGGCACCTGTCTCGTCTGGTAGGTGACTGTTTGCATCCTTGGGTAGCTGGAAACCAGGCGGAGAAGAGGAAACCACCAGAAAAACTTCGGCCTGCCGTCTGAGAACTTTTTTCCGACGTCTTTTCCATTTAACCAGGGTCCACTGAGAGAGTTCCTTACTGCTCTCCCTGGGGGAAGAAGGACGGTTAAAAAAATGGGGAGAAGGCGGGGAGGCAGGAAACCAAGAGAGCTCGATCCGAAAGTAGCGTTCCTCAACCTTCAACCAGAGATTGGAGGGTATTTGATCCAGCACTTCCAACAGTAGTCGAATGGACACAAGGGGAAGATATTCCAAGGATTTCCAAAGGATTGATACAAAATCCCCACAGACAACGGCAATGCTTTTGCAAGTATCCGTGGACCAGGCATGCAATGGGATATGATCAAGGGTGAGCCAGACTCTCTGTTTAGCATAAGACCCGGCCTTTGAAGACCAAGAACGAAGCTGAGCAATGGCTCCTTTAAAAGAGAGAAGAGGACCTCCGTTTAACACAAGCTGAGCTAGTTATGGTTAGGGAAAGGAGAAAAGAATTTCCCCTCCCGAAAGCGGCGTACAAGAGATATTAGGTTCCTTCCAAGTGATTTTGGCTAGCTTCTCAATCCCCCTAATATCATCTCACGTTGGCGAGAAGGAACCAACCAAAGAGGCCTCAAGCTTGGATTTGAGCGGTGCCGAAAAAAACTGGGGAACGAAAACACAGAGAGGATAATCCTTCACAGTAGACTGTCGAGGAGAAACCAGAGGAGTGGGAATCCGGGGAGAGCTAGTGAGAACTTCAGGAAGTTTGTTGTTCTTCGCCACCACTTCTGCAAAAGAAGTAGCCTGAACTACTCGGTGAGGCTGAAAGCGAGCAAGAGGGGCACGACGAGGGGGAGGAGAGGGCTTGGGGAAGACGGCGTAGATCTGGTTCCAGGATAACGAAAGGGGCTCCATTATTTTCATGTAGTTGTTAACTATTACATTGCTAAGTTTTATAACATGATCGCATTTTGCTAATGGCCTTGTAAACCTCATCACTCCACCACCAAGTTTCCTTATCGAAATTTATTTTCCTTCTCTCCTAAAACTTCTTTTGCTACTTTCTTAATATAGTCAGAAATCTCATAATGCATAAACAAGCAAATCTGGATGATGATAACCACGGTTTAAAAAAAAGGATCGGTGACCCAGATCAGCCACCCCAAAAACCGTATCGAAACAGTGGATCGGCAATCCGGATCGGCTGGTTTCAAGCAAAAGAAATTTCAAAGAAATACTACAATTTCTCAAAAATCTAGTTTTTAGGTTTTTTAAAAAAAATAGTTGCAATTGCATTATTTTTTTCATTATTATGTCTTAAATATGTAAATATTTGAGAACATGTCTCATGTTGAGTGTTTATTATCTATTAAATTCATTTTATAATCAAAAAATTTAAAATACAACATGACAATAAAAGGAATCTCTCTAACTCAATTTATTTATTTTATTATTGTATTAACTAAGAAATTTAATAGAAAGAAGCTTCCATTTAGTGGAATTTAAATTTCTCTCTTTCTCTCTACTAAATTCCACAACTAATACAAAAATAATTGTTATTTGTAGAGAGAGACTACTAAATTCCACAACTAATACAAAAATAGTTGTTATTTATAGAGAGAGACTACTAAATTCCACAACTGATACAAAAATAATTGCTATTTGTAGAGAGAGCAACTACTAAATTCCACAACTGATACAAAAATGATTGTTATTTCTGGAGAGAGAGAGAGAGAGAGAGAGAGAGAGAGAGAGAGAGAGAGAGACG